ATTTCCAGTTTTCTTGTCTCTAGAATTAAGACAAAGCAGCAGTCCAACAGGAACAACAGTTAATTCATAGTCATCATTCATAATGTTATATGCTGCCTGCATCACGGCTAAACAAACAGCACTACTGTTTGCCATTCTGTTTATCCTCCAATGCTAATGCAGGGAATTCCGTAGCAAGTAGTTCGGAAGTAATATGATGAGAACAAAAGAGCTAAAGAATGCAGATTACTAATTAACAGTGGAAAATAGCAAAACTATTGTATAGGGCCGATGTAGTTTAGAAAAGCGCATGGCATGATGCTTTTGGAACAAAGCTAGGGAAAGAGGAAATGTGCTTGTGTTTTTGTAGGCCATTGCAGGAAGGTGCCCCAGTCTGTGCCTGCCAGGCTGCTGACGACTGAGCGAGGTACAGTACCTTGCGTGCATCATCGTTTTTGTACAGGTTTCACTTCTGGTTTGTTTTACTGTAGTTTGTGACCTAGAGAGCTGCTTCTCAGATCATCAGCACTTATGTTTGGTTTTGTTGTGTTTGGTGGTCTAAAAATAAGATCACCACGGTTGTGTTATGACGTGAAGAGTTTTTATAGTGTTGTCAGTAGTATGGAAGCTTATTTTTGCCATGGAATAAAAAAAAAAAGAAAAAAAAGTTAATTGCAAATTTCTATGGGAATTCTGAGTTTATATCTCACAGATTTCTTCAGATATTTTTCCTCACAGTTCTGAGAATAAATGTCTGAGTTGTGAGATAAAAAGGCTCACTTGTCTTTGTTTTTTTTATTCCTTGGTGGAAACAAGCTGATCACAATTCTCAGAATTCTGACTTTTGTCTTGCAATTGGAAGTTTGTATCTGGCTATTCTAAATTTATGTCTTGCATCTCTGAAGACATAAGATTGAACTGTGAGATAAAAAGTCGCAAATACCTTTTTATTTATTTATTTATTTTTATTCTGTGATGGAAATAAGCTTTAATATTAATGTATATATGCTTTTACTCTGTTGTTATTTTAGTCATGCATTCTATCTGTTTACAATGATTGTGGTTTAAAGTCACTTTGTGAAATCAAATCCAGCTATTATAATCCATTAGAATGCATTATTCAGTTTCTTATACCTAACTCATATTGGCTCTATAGGGACATGAAGTTTGAAAAAATGGTGAATGTAATTTAATGGAGTCTGATGGCAGGTCTGCGGCTGTCTCCTTTCAGATGTGGATGGCATACCTAAAAAAGAGAGGCCTGGTTGCAGTCAGGCTGCCTAAGAAAGGGCTGAGAGCCCTGTAGTGATGGAGAACCTTTCGGAGGAGGGTCTTTTAACGTGCATTACAATGATGGACTGACCACGCTCACTGCAAAACCAAGGATGCAGCATTTCGGGAGCACTTCTGCTGGTTCTGCTGCTAATATTTATTCTGAGTTTTTTCACACAGTTTTTTTGTTCTGTGTTTGATAGTGTTACTAAGGTTTTTACCAAATTCCATTGCACATTTTCTTTGCATTACATTTTTTATTTGGTTTTGTTATGATGATATTGATCATTACATACATTAATTTCACAGATGAGTTAGCAGAACTGACTTCAGGATAGTGTTTATTCAGAAACTGGATCAGGCTACATAAAACCACTGTTGTAGTGAAGGCTTTGTAGTACATGCTTTCATGTCAAGTGTTCTTTCATGCAGCCACTGAAAAGCTTTTATGCAGCAGAGTTTGCTGATGCACTAAATGTTCAATTAGAGATAAAAGCTTGTTGTAGTGTTTGGAGAGACATATGTTTGCATTCAGCTGAATCTTATGAGGACATTTGTACCTCGGATTCCTGCGGTATGATTGTTCACTAAAAAATGAACTTGACAATCTTGTGTCACTGGGGGTGTATGATGACATGTTTCGCAGAGGCAGAAAAGCGTTTTCCACACCCTGTTAAATTTGACAGTGTACTGTGAAAGGCGCATGCCTAAGCTTTCTTGTCATGGTGAACGTGCCACCACCATGGAAGGAATGCTTGTAAGAGAGGCTGTTTTTGGGGGATGTTGACATATATGTGGTGAATTAGATCACTTACTGTTAATGTTTTGTGTAGCAGTTTGAGTGTTCTGAGCCATGCTGCTCATGCAGGCAGTCCAGTTCATATCATTTCCTGTCGTCTCTTTAGTCTTCCAATCAACTAAGTGCTAAGAGGAAAAATAAGTTCTGTTCTATTCATTGTTGCTTGCTTTGTATGTGTACCCTTTAATCATCTCCAGATCAGAATGTTGAGTGCTGTTGCTGCCCTGGACTGAAGGTCACCTTATACACTGTCAATAAACACATGTACTTGTACACTTACAATAAATAAATGCATTTATTTATTGTATGTATGTATATACATATATATATATATATATATATATATATATAGATACAGCTGCATCTCAAAAAATTAGAATATCGTGAAAAAGAAAATTTTTTTGTAACTTATTTTAAAAAAGTGAAACTTTCATATATTCTAGATTCATTACATGTAAATTCATTACATTTCTAAAGTTGTTTTGTATTAATTTTGATGATTAGAGCTTACAGCTCATGAAAGTAAAAAATCCAGTATCTCAAAATATTAGAATATTTCCTAAGATCAATCAAAAAAAGGATTTGCGAAACAGAAAAGTTCAAGCTCTTTAAAGTATGTTCATTTATGCACTCAATACTTGGTCGGGGCTCCTTTAGCACAAATGACAGCATCAGTGAGGTGTGGCATGGAAGCGATCCGCCTGTGGCACTGCTGAGGCACTATTGAG